CAACTTTTTGGTATAAAATTTTTATACTAAAAACCTGCTTAATTTAAGAAGCAGTAAGAAAGCCATCCCAAAAGTAGCCATAGTTTCTGCCATTCGGACTTCTGATTTGGGATGTTGACTCGATATGTTAAAACATATTAAAATGTTAGTTAACCTTGCTTTCTCAGTTTAAAATGGACAGCATACTCAATTCCTACGACAGAAAACCTTAGTTGTTCTCCCTTTATATATTTGTGGTAGTCTTTTCAATTTGGCAAGTCAATTTATAAGACCAAAAACTTTCAATTGTTCATTGATTTATTATGTGTTAACTAACCATGGAATTAACATCTTGAGTTAGAAAGCCCAAAACTGTATTTTCTCCTTACTGTGTTTCTATATAGTCCATTTTAACATAGACTATTCAATTTCTATGACAAAAAGGTTTGATTACTCTTTAATTTATTTTGTGTTAACTATCGAATCAAGTTTTTGAGTCAAGAAGCAAAATCCTATTTAAAACTTTCCCTGTGTTTTGGGACTGTTAAAAGAGCATATGATTGACGCATGCTGAATCAAAGGTTCATATCTAGCAAAATTGGAGCTTCTTTTATGTAAAATTTTCGGTGAAAACGATGCATAATGTCATTGTAATCTTGGGCTGGACAGTTTTCTAACTGTTTTGCTTTTCAGATCGTAATCATAAATTTTAATTAACCTCTATTTTTCGCTCCATTTTAAAAAAATTGAACTAGAAAACTGTTTCTATAACATCATTATAAAGTTACTTTGTCTATAGCAATTTTACGAAGCAATAAAAAAAACGTAGCCTTCGTTTGAGTTTAACAAATGGAAAGTAATTGTTCTCTATGAAATATTTACGGATCAAGCTTGGGTCTAATCCAAAAAATGACCCAACACGAAGATAAACCTGAGCCCTACTGGCTCATTAAACTTATTAAAAATCTCAACTCGAACTCGATTTGATCAAACATCCAACCTAACCTGACATTAAAAACACCTAATTAAGTCATGAAGAGTATCAACTCAGCCCAAAATTGATTCAAGTACCCAATTTGAACATAACAACTTAAAAAATAACACACAAAAAACAATTTAATCAGTTTTTCATTAAATAAATAAATAGTGAAATCATTCTTTTCAGCCTTACCTCAACTTGATCCGAGTCTTATATAAAAGATTGATCTAAATGTAAAGGTGGTAAAGCAGGAAACTACAGAAGACTGACGCTGGTTGTGTTATGGTGAGAAGAGAAGCGACTGGGAGGAGGGGATGCGCGTAACTAGTTTATATTATGATGGATCGATAACTCATGGAGTGGTAGTTAAAGGACGAGGAAAAAGAAAGGAAGAAGAGGCTTTCAACTCTATGGTACTAAGAAAAATCTAAGAATGGATTATGGATCTTTATAGGAAAATTTTTCATTGTGTGTAATGATGACTGCATCACAATTGTATTGCTTCATAAATTCCCACCAACTTTACTTTCCAAACTTTATTTACTGCACTCCAGTTACTGTTAAAACCTGCATGTTTTGCTCTTCATAAATAGCTCCCTTCCCCAGCCCTGCTAACCTCTACAGCAAATTGAATCTAGCAGTAAAGAGAGTTAGAGTGAGAGAGAGAGGAATAGAGCAGAGAGAGAGAGAGAGAGAGAGAGAGAGAGAGAGAGAGAGATGGGAAGGAATTCGTGTGGTTCGAAGGAAGGCCTCAACAAGGGAGCTTGGACTGCTAATGAAGACAGACTCTTGATCACGTACGTCAATACTCATGGCGAAGGCAAATGGACGACCGTTCCATACAAAGCAGGTAACATTTTGCTAGAAAAATATAAAGAAATGTTCCATGTAAAACAAATTATGTATATTATTAATTAAGCATCATGGATCTGTTTATTTTAAGTTATTATTAAATCCTTTATTTGTTTAAAGAGTAATCAGCATTCTTCCACAACTTCTACTATATAAACAAAGTGCTGCTAAAAGCTGATGCTTTTTCATAATCCAATAATAAAAACGTTAAACAATATTTTAATATACTTTAAATAATATTTACTTATAGCTCAAAAAGTTTAACTTCATGAATAAGACCAATAATCACTAACTAATAGTTCTATCAAACAAAAATTTTTATTTCTCTGACATTTAGTTTTGTTTGTTGAAAATAATTATTTTGACCGTTAGATTATTGTGTACTGAACGATTTTTATTTCTTTCCAGCCACCTTTCTCTCTCTTATGCATGCTTTGTCATTAATCTTTCATATATTTAGGGCTCAAAAGGTCTGGAAAGAGCTGCAGGCTCCGATGGCTAAACTATTTGAGCCCCAAAATCAAACGTGGAAACTTTTCAGAGGAAGAAAACGACCTCATCATCAGGCTTCATAAGCTCCTCGGCAATAGGCTAGCTCTCTCTTCCCTATACTTTCTCGTGAAATATCTATTCCTATCTTAACTATTTACTTACATAGATTGCTTTCATATACGCATTCGCTAAAAAGCAGTAAGAACGCCGTTCCAAACGCATCAGTAGGACTTGCAGGATTTAAAATAACAAAAAAAAAAAAACTAAATTAATTTTTATCGAATTTATTGATGATTAAAATGAGAAGAGATTGTTAGGTCCATAAATTTGCAAAAATTTAAGAAAAAAGAAAACATTTATTCAGTTAACTTCTTTCAAACAAATAATTCAGTTAAAATTAATTTCAAATAGAATTATTTATTATTCCTATTTATATTCCCCTTTCATTTCCTCTCGTTCTATTTTAAGCATCGCACGTACCAAACTGAGCCAAACAATTTTGGGAAAAAAACATTTCACAGAACGATGGCTTGAATTCTTACTCTTATATATATGTTTGCAATATTGAAGATCATTATAAGTCTTCGTCCTACGTTCATATTAGGTCCAACAGCATTTCAAGCCATGACAAGTTCAAGAATTTATACATTATAATAGTATGTTCTCAATTATTTAAAAAAAAAAGTAATATTTTTTATATTTTATTAAACTGAGAAAATATATGCATATTATTCTATTTTAATTATTTATAAAGCATTTTATTTGTTATGTTCTTATAATTCAAATTATCATTATTAATTTTGTTATTATTTCAATTTTCATTTGAATCTTACTAAACTTTACTACTATTTAAATTTAATATATTTCCTTGTACAACATATAGCATAGCATATATTTTTATTTTTAATGTCAGAATGAAAAT